AAATAAAGTTTAACTCAGAGATAATTTAGTTTTAATTTATACATTTAACTTAATTACTTTTGTTTTATTAGAATTCATTGAAAAGATTACTCGAAGATACAATAAGTGAATGAAAAAACATCACACTTGGGAAATTATTCACCCAAATGACCTGACATAAATCTCACATCTGGTGCTAGCTGGTTGGCAAACATGGTTGCCCCCTGGGGTTATTGCGCCTTTGTGTTTCCGACTTTACTCCATACAAAATCAAATCAAAGGGTGTCAAATCTTAAGTTTGGATTAGAAAGAACGAAATGCCAACCACCAATTTAATCTATGCCCACCTACCATCACAAGTAAGAAACTCTATAATCAAGATCTCTAAGCCTTAGTTTATTTATTGGTGGATTTATAATGATTTGCAGGTAAATATTGAGTTTATTTTAGACAAAAATAATGATTTTAGGGAATAAATTTGATCAATTGTGTATTATTTTGGAGTGTCTACTTTTTTTTTTAAAGACAACAACGTACTCGTGTATAATTATTTACATGACACAAATTAAAATTATATAAATGAATATAACTTTATATAATATATATATTTTAATTATAATAAATTCAAATTTTAAAACGAATAATAATCCAAAAAAAGTATACCTTAATAATAAATATAAGTATGGACACTTAAATAAGGAAAACAACTTATAATTATTTTTACTTTTATTAAATTAATTATATATCATAAAATTTTTCATTCATTTTTACTATTTTTTTTTACTAATTTAAATAATCTATTTTTCACTTAAAATCATTCCAAGTAAACAAAACATTAAAGCGTGCTAAATTGGTCATAAATGTTTTGATTTTATTTTGTTGGAGAGTGGTTAGGGGCATGGATTGATTGAAAAGGAAAGCATATTGCAATGGGGTAGCCTCCTCTTATTGATGGATGGCCAGTGTATGGATTTGGAGTTTGAATCCGAAGCAAATAACGTAGAGGTCAGATAGAGAAATCACTCTTATTTGAATTTATATAGATCAAGATTCTGATGATTAGTCTGCATTCCAAAAGGGACCCTTTTCACGCATGATGTGAAAACTCAAACCTAAATTATGACTCTGATCTGTATGGTATGGAAGCAATATTCTTATTCTATTATTACCAGCACCAATTATTGTACAAGACATCTCCTCCGAAAATTAACCCGTGTAAAAAGTATAAAGCATAATAAACAAAACATTACCATTTTCCCCAAGTTTATTGCTGTGTGGTACTTAGGTCCCATATAAATTTTGTGGATCATGTATCATACGTACCCAACACTATGCATGTGGATGTGTTCTTTTTTTTTTTTTTTTATCTGTTTATCCAAACACTAATACATAATTTTTAAATACATATATTAATGAGCATATTTATTATCTATTTTTGTGTCATTATGTTTTAAATTGAAATTTTCAAAACAGGTCCAATATTTTTGTAATTTCTTAGTAAAATCCAATCGGCTAAAGAAAAGTTTACAAAGAAGATCAGAAAGTGAGAATATGTATAAATCTTTGAAGGAAAATAATATTCATGGACATAAGTAGTTATTTATTAATGTTTTTATTTAACTTTTTGCTAAAAAGACATAAGTATGTACCACATGAGATTAGGTCAAGTTTAGAAACATCAAGCTTATTTTTCTAACATCACTTGAAATAATCCACTTTTTAGACATCGTCTGCAACAAATATTCAGGTATGCACAACAAGAAAGATTATTATGGGTTTGGAAACATCTCACTCAACTTTATGACGTCATAACCTAATTAACGTCTCCAACATAAATTATATGGCCATGACAAAAGCTAGGCATAACATAGTTTTTACTTAAGTAGTGTCGAGCTCTTGCATATAGCAACTCTTACCTTGAAACTCGAACTTGAATAGAAGAAAAGAAAAGTAAAAATAGGAAATTTAAATCATTTAAAAATATTCTGGTTTTACAGTTTTAAAAATTTATATTGGACAATTTTAGAGGGATAAATAGTGAAAGTATATTCATCAATAGATATTAAGCAATTTATCATAATACCAATATCGAATCCAAATTTGTAGGTTCTCACAACTTGTCCTTCTCTGCATACAAAAGGAGAAAGAATTGAAAGATTTTAATCAATGGATAAAAAAATTAAGAAAATACAACTCATTATTTAATCCAAAATTTTAAGTCAAATAAATTTGTATAAAATTTTATAGTTTATATATTTTGCTCAACCTATTTATTTATAAAAAAATATATGACCTAAATCACGTTTGAACTCTAATTAACCATCGTTATTGTTCCTCTCTCTTTATTTAATTTTGAAGTATTGCTATTATTATTATAGTGTAATATTCGTTCATGGCTTTTAGTGTTAGATTGATAGTTTTCACAATGTTATGCGCTAATCTTCATGTGTATTGAAATTGAAACATTAACACATACTTAGTGCATTTAATTAAAATGAAATATCTGTTAATTTTTATATTTTTAAATTTAAATTTGAAATTATTGGTTAGAAATTAACCATTCCCGCTCCGACTTTTTTAACCATTTCCGTTCCTGTCCCCGATCTCCACCAGGGTTAGAAATTAAGTCTCCATCCCCGTCCTCGTTGGATTTCGGTTCCCTACCTCCGTCCCGTCCCCATTTTAAATTATTTTTAAAAAGATAATTACATTTATAATAAATTAATTTTACTATATATTTTTTATATATAAATAAATATTTATAATTTTATAATTTATAATTATTATTAATTAAATATACATTTTAATTTATTATATTTATATTAAAATATGTATGTAAAATAAATATTTAATCATTTTTTATTTATAATATTATTATTATTATAACATCTGTATTCAAATATTTGAATACTTGTAACATTATTATTATAATACTCGTATTCAAACATTTGATTATATATATATATATATATATATATATATATATATAAGTTAATTCATTTTTAAGTTGTCATTTAAAAATATGAAATATATAGTTTATAAAGAAATATTTAGAAATATATAGTTTATAAAGAAATATTTAATAAGTTAATTCTTATTCAATTAGTTTGAAGTAATAAAAGTTTAAATTATCAATTCCTTTAATCCTTTAAAATACAAATATTTTATTAAGATAAAATTTGATATATGATAAATAAGAATAATAAGATAAAAAAATATGACATAATAAAACCTAATAAATATAAATTATAAATAAAATAATATTAGTTACTACTAAGATTTATGTAAAATATTTAAAAAAAGATAAAGAATAAAAAAAATAACTTTATGTTCATGAAATTGGTTGAAAAGATTAAAAAAAAACAAATTGATAAGAGAGATAAAGGAAATGTGAAAAAACTGAAAGATAAGAGAGAATAATGTAATAAATTAATTGATATAAAAGATTAAAAAAAACAAAAAAAATTAAAAAGTTGGGAGAAGAAAAATAAAAATTAGTGAAATATAAAAAAATTACCTTATATGTAATAGAAAAAGAAAAGGAAGTATTTTTAAAATATTAATATTTTAAAATTTAAATTTAAATATAAAGTCGGGGTGGGGACGGGATCGGGGTGATGATTGCATTACCCATCCCCGCTCCTCGCCCTAACTTTTTAAAGTAGGAAAACCCGAACTCGCTCTCGCCCCTATTAATTCAGCTTTTTCCGTCAAACTCGAAACGAAGATGGATAGACCTGACGAGTACGGATTTTATTTTCATCATAGTTTTAACTCTAATTAACCATCGTTATTGTTCCTCTCTCTTTATTTAATTTTGAAGTATTGCTGTTATTATTATTATAGTGTCCAGTGTTAGATTGATAGTTTTCACAATGTTATGCGCTAATCTTCGTGTATTGAAATTGAAACATTAACATATACTTAGTGCATTTAATTAAAATAAAATATCTGTTAATTTTTAAATTTAAATTTGAAATTATTTGTTAAATTCAAATTGTATATATACGGCGTAAAATATATTTTTAAAATAAAATAAAATATATTCTTCCAGGAATAGCTTAGGTCAGCCGAAAGCTATCCACAATGTCCCAATACGCCAAAAGAAGAATATTCCTTGTGCGGGACTCTTTTATAGTTTGTAAACAATAAAAAAATTAAGAGATTGAGTCTAATAAGTTATTAATTTTTATTGCATGTTAAAATTAATAGTAATAAATAGTAAAGTAAATTAAAAATAGTGTCACATTTAAAGACAAGATTTTCAAATAACTTTTATCTTTGATGTAACGTAATTTTTACATTACTTTCTATACTTTAAAATACATCTGTAATAATTTTAGAACATTATAATGGCAATAAATAATAATAAACATTATTGAAAATAATTTATATAGAAAATAAGTATAATTTTCGGAAATAAAAAAATGGGCCAGGCACGTTTGTGGTTTGTGGATGGGAAAAAGAAAGAAATTCAACTTCCCACGTGAACGCCAATCAACATGCAACGATCTCATCCTTTCCACACAAACTCCCTGATCACGCACCACACACCACCAACTACATCTTCATGCTTCGAATTTGCCCTTCTTCCACTTTCATAATGTCGATACTACCCCTCGTATTCCTTCCTCTACCCCTTTTCATATTGGAAACAAGACCCTGTTTCGGTAAATTCCCTGTGCTGATAATTTGTTGGATTAACGTTGCCTTGAGTCTGATTTGAGGTTCAGGTTCTAACTCTATCCTCATTATTTCACAGTATTTTTCAGTTCAGCATTGATGTTCTTATTTGGAAAAAGAAGAAAAAAGTTCCAAACAATAAAAAATAGTACCTCTTCTCTAGCTAGCCTTCAGTACTCCTAGTCCCGAAGAAAATGTACAAAGAATCTACAGTTATAAAAGATTACCTTGAGCCTGAACAATTGCTGATTCAATCTGTTTTCTTTCTTTTTCTGCTTCATCATCAACTGTAACATAGAAAAAAATATCGTGTGTGAGCTAGAGAATCAGTACCTGCCATGATGGATCTTGGACAAGAAAAAACTGTACCTGCTGGTAGTGACTTGTCTTTGAAGAAGAAGGAGCTTCTTTCTAGTGCCATGAAGAGAACAAGTGAATGGTATGCTTCTTGTCTTTTGAAACTAATGCTTTGGTCGCTTTTATGTCAAATGTACATCACCTACTTCTCTTGTGTACGTTGCTACCTTCCGTCGCATAGAATGACTGAACTACTTGATTACAGGATTTTCTCGCAGGAGATTCCAAGTGATGTCAACGTTCAAGTTGGGGAAGATTCCTTTTCGTTACATAAGGTAGCGAACCAATTCACACACGACTCTTTGTATATCAAACTTTGTACTGTTGGTCTCAGAATAGTTCAAGAACATGGTAACAAACTAACAATTTCTTACTCTTGTTATTTGTTCACATGTTGTAGAGCTCGTTGGGCTCTTCAGTTTGTGTCAAACTTTAGGAGTCTCTTTCTGTACAGTGGCTTGAACACCTCAATCAATTGTTTACTGGTTGCGTGCCTTTTTGTTTAACGTATCCCACGTTTTTGGTCTCTGCCTAAAAATAGAAAGTTAAGAAGCAAGAGAAGTATAAGGATGAAATAATTGGTGTATAGAATTGTTATTGTTATGTTGGCCATCTACTAATGTTGAATTCTCTGACACATTTCCTTCTGTAATCGCAGTTTCCATTAGTCTCCAAGTGTGGATATATTAGGAAACTCGTCTCAGAATCTAACGATGCTGACGTTTCATTCATTGAACTCTCTGATGTTCCCGGTGGAGCAGAAGCATTTGAACTGGCAGCAAAGTTCTGCTACGGAATAAACTTCGAAATTAACGTTGAAAACATTGCCACGCTACGTTGCGTGGCTGAATATCTTGAGATGACAGAGGACTATTCAGTTGGAAACTTGGTGGGAAGGACTGATGCTTATTTGAACGAAGTGGCACTGAATACCATTGCAGGGGCTGTGTCTGTTTTGCATATGTCAGAGAATCTTCTTCCAGTAGCAGAGAGAGCAAAGTTGGTGAGTCGATGCATAGATGCCATTGCATATATATCCTGCAAGGAAAGCCAATTCTGTTCATCTGCAAGAAATGAGAGTGGCACTGTGGGAGTGGTGTCTTCCGTGGCATCAAACCAGAAACCAATAGTTGATTGGTGGGCTGAAGATATGACTGTGCTTAGAATCGACATTTTCCAAAGAGTTATGATCGCGATGATGGCAAGAGGGTTTAAACAGTATGCCATTGGTCCCATTCTAATGCTCTATGCTCAGAAATCTCTACGAGGTTTGGTGAGATCCCTCTCTAAAATGATGGAACAGTTAACAGTAAATATGATTTTATGGATTTGTTGATTCACCGATTCAGTTCTTGACTCTTGTCTCCCTTTTTTGAGGAACAGGATGTATTTGGAAAAGCAAGGAAGAAGATCGAGCCACGGGAAGAGCATGAAAAGAGGGTTGTTTTAGAGACAATAGTGAGCCTTTTGCCAAGGGAGAAGAATGCAATGTCAGTAAGCTTTCTTTCTATGCTGCTTCGGGCAGCAATATATCTTGAGACTACAGTTGCTTGCAGGCTTGATTTGGAGAAGAGGATGGCCATGCAGTTAGGACAAGTTGTTTTAGATGATCTTCTCATTCCTTCCTATTCCTTCACTGGAGACACATTGTTTGACGTGGATACAGTGCAGAGGATCATGGCTAATTACCTAGAATCTCAAACGGGTAACCACTTAGTCTACAATGCAGATGATGAATACTTTTCTCCTCCACAAAGTGATATAGAACGGGTTGGAAAGTTAATGGAAAACTATCTTGCTGAAATAGCCACCGACCGAAATTTACCAGTCCCAAAGTTCACATGTTTGGCAGAATTAATTCCTGAACAGTCCAGACCAACAGAAGATGGGATGTATAGAGCCATAGACATCTATCTTAAGGTTCAGACTACAATTCTTTTTCTATATCAAGTTAATCATACTCCAGATTTGATATTTTGTTTTTGTACTGTTGATACCTCTTGTTTGAACAACAGAAGGATCACTTAAATTTCGCTAACCAAGATTAAATACCTGTTTCCACGGCGTATTCTCACTGGGTTAAGTGCTTGTTTGATTTCATGTTGAGACATCTAAAATCACATTCAAATACCTATTAACGTGACTTTGGATAAATATTTGCTTTTGTGTTTTTATATCCAGAATTGTTTAATTGAAATAAATTTTGTATCAGAAAAGAATCATATTAAATTTTACTTTATTTTTAGCACAAAAACATCTAAACATAAATCACTTCAATTCAAAATCAATTTTGCATAAACTCGAATTTGCTAGATCTAATCCTATCATATTTCATTTGCTACATTAGACAATTGGATTTATGATAGTATCATCATCGAATTCAAGGATTTATGATTGATAGTAATACAATTTTGACAGAATTATTTACACCTGAGTTTATTTTGAATTAATGCTGATGAAGTTTGAATTGACTATCTCAGGCTCATCCTGCTCTAAGTGACATGGAGAGAAAGAAAGTCTGCAGCGTGATGGACTGTCAGAAGTTATCTCGAGAGGCATGTGCACATGCTGCACAAAATGACCGGCTACCTGTCCAAACCGTGGTTCAAGTTCTCTATTACGAACAGCAACGGCTTCGCGATGCCATGAATGGCAACGGTAGCGGGGAATCTTCGGTTATTTCCAAACTGAACGTGTACTCCTCTGATCTTCATCCATTTTCAAATGAGCTCTCTACTCTACGAAGAGAAAATGAAGACCTGAAATTAGAACTAGTGAAATTGAAAATGAGACTGAAAGAGATTGAAACCACCAAACTGAAATCTGCAGTTAACAGTCCTGCGGTAAGTGTTTCACCTTCCGCTGATAAACCTCCCTTGCCTCGAAGATCATTCATAAGTTCAGTGTCCAAAAAACTTGGACGGCTTTCTCCTTTTGTGCGTGCCGATGGTGTTTCACCTTTTGCCAAAGGTCGCACTAAACCAAATAAGAATCGACGCCACTCCATTTCCTGAGGCCGTTGATAATTCCTGGTGTTGAGACTAAGTTCTTCCTTTGATTCAGGGTTTGAAAATAGAGGGTTAGTCTTTCCAAGTTTTTGCCCCATCTATGTGATAACGTGTAGATTGTATGATTGTGATCCTTTGGTGCGAACTATATTGTAAATTGTGATAAAAAATTAAATATAATTCTAGCTTGGATTGATTTCCATGTAGTTAGGGGCAGTATTAAAGTTGTAATACAAGAATAATAAACTAAATTTAACATTGGTTGTCCATGCAAGAATCATAGTTCATCCCATCAGCCTTGCATAAAACAGATAAGAATCCCAGATCGCAATGTATATTGGATTTTCATTTTATTCTCTTGTATTTAAGTGGCATTGCATGGCATCTTGTTGAAAATGATTTTGTAAAGTTCTAACAAATGCCATATACAATTTATTTTCTACTATTATCTGTAATCAAGAGAAAGGTATAAATGGAAATCATCTGCATTTCGTACAATATTCACAATGAATTGTGATCATTAGTCCCCCCCACCCAAAAATAAATCATCCATAAAGGATGTAACATCACCAAGAGCACTTTCGTATTCACACACGAGACTAAAAAAATTAGGTGGGTCAGCTGCTTTTCACAGTGAGATCATGCCTCTCTAAAGATAAATGGACCATAAAATCACTGGAAGAATACAAAATCTGAAAAATTGCAGATGGTGGGGTCTATGTATAAATTATTAAGTCCTTGGGGATAAAAAGCTTCCGTAAAGGGAATAATAGACTAATAGTTCAAGTGACAGCCTTGCATTGTCGGTATTGGTGTCTAAAGCCTAATCATAATACAAGAGATCACGGTTCGGTTTCAAATTCATGAATATTCTAAAGGCATGAAATGTTGTAAGTTAAACATCTTTTAGGACAGACCTTACTAAAACATGTTAAATAGATGTTTTAGTGTCTGGAAGAGAATATGCTGTATTCATCTGATGGTAGACACTAAGATCTCCTAATTCTTGTTGGTTTGTAAGTTCATGAATCATCCTGGAAAAATAAATTAGATTAATGAGAAAAGAAAAAATGTTTATCAACATCATGCGTTTTCATTAGCAACAAAATATTGTCATGTTTCTCCTATTTGGAATTACCCCTCATCAACAACTTTAGTTGTTTCCCCACTTTGCGTATGAAACCCATACAGTTGGAGATGAGCTGAAAAGCCTTGAAAGTATTTTCTCCATTTCACATCACGGTCGCTACTACCGGTTTGTCTTTTTGAAAATACGACTTCGTTAGGACTGAGAAATCCACTGTGAGAAACGCATTAAATGATTTGATTAATAGAGGAGGATGGCATATATCCCTTTCTTTCAGGTACGGGCTAGCAAAGAGCTTAATAACCTCAAAGACATAGCTCCATGTTTCATGGTTTCTGAGGTAAAATGATGTAAATTTGAGTAGTCACAAGACGGAAGAAATATCAATCATAGGTGATTCCGGAATCATGATTGGTTTTTTTAACCATGAAAACAAGTAATATATATACAGGACATAATCACACCCTCACCATAAATAACCACGAAGAAAATTTCACAGAAACATCACGCACAAAGTTAGTCTTGAACATTAATTAAATATACATCACATTGACCTCAGAATATTTTTAGGTCGTGTTCAGACTCAACATTTGTAAAAACCAAGGTGGCTGTTTCGATCTCTCTTCTTTTGATTGTTCTTCAATGCCATAACTGTTTCTAAATCCACTTTGGCACCCTGCGGTTGAATGTAGCACCTGGACAAGATCACTTATACCTCCACTTAATTTTTCCATAGTTGAATGATTCTATGATGGGTCTTCAATTTTGTCTCGTTTACAAGGTTGGATCCAGTAGTAGAAGAAGACAAGCTATGTGTTGACTCTGAAGTTAGCAGTGTCTCCACTTTCTTACGATTGTAACATGAAGGGCCTAGCGTCATCTCAATCTCGGTCTCGTTTAAAATCTCTAGAACTCCATTGCTGTCAGATTCTGCAGTGTCCTCCATAGCAGATATCTCCAGATTAAATTTCAATTTAGGATTTTTCTCTGCACCTTTATAATAACAATTTTGAGTTAGACTAATCACATTTTTTAAGTTCCATCCTCGTTGGTTTACTTCAATACCTCTGTTAGCATCCATATTTTTCATCAATATCTTCTGAATCCGATACAAACGGTGAAGCTCGTACACCTGTAAACATTTCCGGGGCACCCAATACTCTAATGAAGCTGATTGAGAACAAATGGCTCAAAGGGACAGAAAGAAAGATATGTAGTACCTGTTCTTTGAAAGTGTATTGGTGTTTTAGCATGGTCATCCTCATGTATTCTTTGTCGCAAGCCCTAATAAGCTTCTCCATGGAGATTTGTTCAGCTTCTTTAATAAAGGTAACTAAACTCTTTATGTTGGAATGTTCAGAATGCATTTTTACGGTATCGCCGCATTCATATTAGTGACATTGCTCAGCTGAAATGAGGAAAATCTAAACTTGTAAGGTATCTGATCAATGAAAAATGTTTCTCTATAATCAACTTCCGTTGCTTATCTCATTCCACCATTTTGGACCACAATTATATGAAATGAATTCTCAACAACAAAAATAAAAAATTTTGGGTATTTTTTATTTGCTGAATTTCCTACCGCAATAACTTTTCGCACATATCAAGCTATGAAGACATGATGTCATTATTCACATTGCTATCCTTCGGATTCCTGCAATATTTAAATACATAATAATGACAATGCATAGTATTAGAGTTATAGCATAGCAATACGTTGTGATTAGGAATTCGTCACCATGCTTTAGTTACCTCAAAATCTCCCACATAAATCTCAATATTTTTGCATATTGATCCCTGACTCCTTGTCAGCATAAAGTTCTTGATATTTTAGCCCCTGCACTATCTTTCTCTCAATTTATCTTCGTACTTCTACATCATCAGTTCCCTGTTTCTGTTCATCCTTGTATTTTTTTTTTTCTCTTTATAAAACCTTTTCTAAAAGTTTCACAAATAACAAATGATTTTTTCTTTATCACGAATTAAAGGTTGATAACTTATACCCGGAAAACCAAAATAAAAAGGAAGTTATTGCCTTGCATGATGCAAAACCATATTCCTCGTCTGAGACAGCAAATTTCACCTGAGATTTTCACGGGAAGCATGTTATGTACCCACGCTCCAATCTAACGTTACAACCTAAATTTAAATTATCATACTAATGACATAATATAAATTCTAACAATCAAATTAAAACAAATTAATTAACATTCACATGCTCATTTATGCCATGCAAATGGCAAAAACTTAATGACTAGCGAGGGCCAAAGGAAAGAAGATTTTGCAGACAGGCCACAGGGAACGAAAAGACGTTTATTAGTTTCACAATCAGTAGTAAGATTCAAAAAGAAACTGAAAACTATCATGAACATTGGGTTAAGCATTCTACTAATCAAAGGAAAATTAACAGATACAGATTCAGTGAATTCTAACACAAAAAGTTGTAACTAAAAGAATCTAGCTTCCAACCTGTGAAAATGAACCGAAGATACCCCAATACTTTCTGTCCTGTATAAGAAGACAAGACAAGTGGAAGAAAAAATGTCTCTCAAGCAAAGGCAAGAAGATCCTCCTTTCGCTACAACTTCAGCGACAACCCTGTTTTATAGAGAAACACTCCGCTACTCTTTTCTCACACTCCATAACAAAATCGTCAGTGTATACTGTTAGAGATTAAATATTATACTACTATTATAACGAAAATTTAAGATTCGCTCTCAAAGACACTCACGGAAATCAAAGTGCTATTTGCATGAGGTTTGAGGCATGCCAAACAAACCCCAGCACCTTGACCAATGTAATTCAAGTTTTATGGATGAAATGCCTGAGACATGGGACAGTTCCAGCAATGCGGGTATATTAAATAAACTGTCAAGAAAAAGAAGAAATAACAATTATTCTACTCCATTAGTACTATTAGTTTTCATTTTATAATTGTTTAGAATCACAGCCTTGGTTTACTCGACACAAATCATGCTGAAATGAATCACATGCACCCTACTTTCCGTGTCGCAGATCTCAATTATAGTAATAATAAACAAATTACAGTCGAAGCTTGTTTCATATATACATCTGTTTTGACTGTCGTTGAGAAGTAGATCCTGACAATAAGGACAACAAATGATAGTTTTATGGCTTCACTAATTCAATTTATCTATTTCCATTACATTGATAAGCAACACAGAATTATCAATTATGATTTACGAATTTTTGTACCTGCACTCACTCTGTAAGATAGTTGCATGCAATACGCTGTTTTTCGCCCCAAGACCCAACGCAATGGTTGTAGACGTTAATTGGCCATGTGTATGGAAAATTAGGTACTATATACATGCATTAATTTCTTAGAGGTACACTGTTGATGAAAAATACTACTGTGTATAGATAGCTATTGTGTCGATAGAGACTTTAGCATCTATCTATCGGTCTATACTTTTAATATAAGATTAAAATTAACTCTAATAATATTAAAATATTATTTGTTAATTGTTATTGAAATAAACTAATAAATATATAATAAAATATGATATCATTTATTTTTAAGATAAGATTAAAATTAACTTTAATAATAAAATATTATTTGTTAATTGTTAATTGTTCTTGAAATAAATTACTTGTAAATATATAATAAAATATGATATCATTTTCTACCAGAAATTGAGAAAGATCATATTTTCCAAAATTTTATAATTCGAATATGTATTCTTAATTTTTATTTCCTAAATTTAATTATTATTAATTCTTCTTATTTATATGTTTATAATTTTGATCATTTTGTCTTATTTTTTTCTATATTTTTTATATTTATTTATTATTAATATATTATTTATTCTCTTAAAATCATTTGTCTAGTGAAACACTCTTTAACCTAAACCACTTTCAAACCTACAAGTTTGAAGTATTGGATTTGTGAATATTATTTAAGTTCATCGTTTCTACTGTAAGAAAGCCATCTCACATTTTAATTCTAATTTCTTAAGTTCCACCTCTGTTTTGAAAATGTGGAAAATGGAAGCACGCGTTGCCGGGGTGAAAGGTGCATTTGTATGGAGCGGTGGGTCCAATGGGTTTGCTACAGAACTGTTCATTGGCCCCACTTGAATTGGAGATTTGCTCCGGGGACTATGAGGAGCACACATAGTTATAAAAACCAAAATGGAGAACGAGATATGATAATGCTGACGTTACAAAGTAGTTGGTCCAAGGTATCTAACTTTGTGAACGACATACATTAGAGAGTTACAAACGCAACAGAATCCAAGATATTCAACCAAAATTTCAACTAATCAATTTCAAAGTATTTCTTCTTTTATATTATTATTATTAGGAATTAAGTTAAAATTAGAATGAGTTAGTTAGTAAAATTAAATATCTTTATATTTGTTTTATTTATTTTATTTTTTCTCTTATATATAAACTGTCGTTATATAGTTTATGTAATTAATAAGATATGAGGTTTTTTTTTTTGTATTTTTTGAGTTAGTCTATATTTTATATGATATCTAGAGTTTCAAACGATACAAGAAGCAAACTCTGATAAGAAGTTGTGTGTAAAATAATAAAGGTGTTTTTTTTTTAAGATTGAAGGGGCAATCTCTTGTTAAGGATAAGAAGATACTAAGACATTTAAGATTAGTCAATAAGACATGACTAGATTTGGTGGAATAATGTTGAGAGTGTTGTCAATATTTGATGGAAAGTTATTTGATGATTGGAGGATCAAGATGCCAACCATTTTCGGGTTTTAGGATATAACTGAAATAGTCGTTGTCGGGAATGAGGTTCCTGAAATAAAAGCTACTAATGAGGAAAAGAAAAACTATAAGGCCCAACAAAAATTGGACAGCAAAGCAAGGTTTCTCATTTATCAATGTGTAAGTCCCAAGATTTTTAACATCTTGAAACTACTACTAAGGAGGCATGGGAAATTCTAATAAAGACCTATGGAGATGGTGACAAGAACAAAAAGGTAAAGATTCAAACTTTGTGTAGACAATTTTAATTTCTAACTATGGATGAGAGTGGAACCATATAAGAATATTTTGATAAAGTTCAAAAATATGTGAATGCTATGAGGGCTTGCAAGGACAACACAACAGACCAGTAGGTTGTGGATAAAATTTGGAGAACTCTACCTCCACGATTTGATAATGTGGTGTGATGAGTCATTATATTCTCATATTTTCTTCTATTTTTGAACTTATTTTAATTAGTGTTTTGGGTTTAACTTTCTATTATTAGTGAATTTTTATTAATTGGGTTTCATTGGGCCAATAATTCAGATTTTAATTAATTTGAATCTATTTGATCTAATTTTTGCTCATTATTATTTTCAAGACATTTTAAAACAATTTTGGCCTTGAAAAATTGGGTTAAATGTCATATTTTATTTCATACGGGAATTAACATTGATTCACTGTTTTATTTATCATTTTTTCTACATAGCTCCAAAAATCATAATTCTGGAAGCATTATAAACTAGACACATTCAGCTTTCCAAGAATCCAGAATCATTCAATTCGGACCTAAATTGAATTTTACATAAATTATCCAAAACGGGTCAAGCGCACCAGGCCGACCCAATGGACATAATTCAGTAATTTAAGTGTTCTAAATTTATTAGACCTCCGAAAATAGTAAAAACAGTGGCATTTTAAAGCTAACTCAAAATCCTTTCAAAGGAGACTAGAATCGCTTAATTTGAATAAGTATTGAAAATACTGCACGTGTTTGAAGTTGGCAGACCTGCAGTGAAGCCAACTAATTATGATGTGTTTTGTGGACCAGTTGGACTAAAACCTAGATTAAGATTAGGGTTATAGTTATTTATGTGTTAGAGATGTAGGGTTAAGGGAGAACGACATCAGATAGCAGCCACGCAGCCGCCTTTCATCTTCTGCAATTTGTATTAAAGTTAGTTTACTCTTATGTCATTATTTTAAATTCTTGTTTCGATTTTAATTATGTTTCTTCTTTTGCGTTTTCGATCTTCCATGAATAGCTAAATCTTTGTATTGATTTTCTAAGGAGAATGCAAGTAGATATTTGAAGTTTTGTTCTTAAAATTTCGTTTATTCTCTTAACTTTTCATCATCTAATCTCAGTATTGAATTATAATATGTTTATGCTTAATAAACTGAAACTAATATCATAATTTGCTTAATTCTATGTTAGATATGAGATTATGTGATGTATGCAATGCTTAATTGTATAAGGATAATTTGGGGTTAATCTTCGCTTAGTTGGTTAATTTCATATTGGAATAAGGGTTAAGGATAATTTGGGGTTAATCTTTGCTTAG